GATAAAAATTATTGAAAACTAAATTTAATAAAATAATCAAGAGATCTTTATTTTTCTGTAAGAAAGGAAACGTTCAATAAATTTAATTAATAAATACTATCTACCTGTTGAGAATTCCTTAAATTTGAAATTATAAAAAACAAGATAAATTAGAAAAATATAATTATGAAAAGACAATTTTACGAATTAATGATTTAATTGGCTATTGCCAATGTGGCTCTCAACAGTAGTCCATTATTAGCCATCACAACACACAAGAGCCCGTGAATATTCCAAATCTTAAAACATCCACTCAATCAATTTTAAAAATCACAAAATACGTCGTTAAAAAATTAAAGCTTGCGATATTGTGAAAACATACAGGTATTTCTATGCTGGGACCCCCTTTTTGTCTCTCTCCGGTCAAGAAATCATATACACTTTACCTGTCAAATAAGTTCTGACCAGTTACAAGTTTTAACTTCCATCGCTTCACGAAGTCATCCACCCACCGAAGTCGTAGTGGCCAGACATGCCGAAATACGTACACACAGAAAAATCTATTGTCAAAATTAACACTAACTTTAGTGTTAAAAAGTTATGTTCAATTCGACGTTATGTAGTGTTATTTCTTAAATTAAGTATAATTAACATGAATAAAATATATTGTTACAGTTTATTCTTAAATTAAAACTAATTAGGTTTAAATTAAATATATGTATAGGTGTAATTTCAACCTAAACAATAAATTTATAGTGTGGTTATTATTAAACAAAGTTTTTAACAGTTATGTTCAAGTCGACGATACGTATGAATATATAATATTGTTAGTTTATTCTTATATTGAAACTAATTGGACTTAGGATAAATATACGAATGGGTGAAACTAATTAGACAAAAAAATTATCGATTTACTATTTTCTGTCCTTGTCAACCTTGTTTATTATGGTTTATAATAATTTATTAATACCTAATATTTTGACTAAATCACTAGTTTTCTTTTGAAAATAACACATAAATAATATAGTTATTTTGACTACAAAATAATTTCTTTTAGTTGTTTTTTTACACTTCTTCGTTGTGATTTCGAAATACGGGGTTCTCTCGGACCAGACGCGTTCCTGTTTATTATTTGTGAGTACTTCATGAAAATGGAAGAGTTATTAAGGGAATGGGGTTTATCTCCTGAAATTATACAAACATTTATGGTTAATGTTAAGAACTCTACGTACGTACGTAAGTATATTTTAAAAGTGTAGTTTGCACTATACTTTTCTTATCCTGAAATCTTTAACCCATCCGAACTTTTTTTTTAACCCAATATCACTGTTTTTTTAATTAAATTACCTCTATTTTGATATATGTTTGAATAAAAAAATCAGAATAGGGCAGTAATCACAAAAAATTATCAAATTAAGATTAATTAAGGGCCGCACTTTTTTAAGTGGTTTTATATATTTTTTGTTTGTTTTAGATCGAAATGGATTTTGAAAACATATATCCACAGTCGATTTTATCATTATATTCGAAATGAAATCCTATTATCTTTGAAAAAATGCAGTGTACATGATCCTGTGGCATTAGAACATATGGAATGCTTAAAAACCATTGATAATGAAGGTAAGTATACAATTATCCTTAAAATTTGAAGTCGATTGACCGTCTATAACCCGAGATAAATTCAATTAAAAATTGGATAATTAACATGGATTGTATACGCTTTCTGTAGTTCTGTACCAGTTTCTTAGTTATAAAAAAAACTAACTGTCAGAAGCTTTTAAAAAACTAACAGTCTTTTAATGTATTTTTGCTGAGTTAAAAAAAAAATAATAAAAAATCTTTGACCGTCCAATTGTTTATAAATAACCGTTTAAAGTTCAACAATTTGTAAAAAGTATACATCACTAGTGTCAGATAAAAACAACTTGGCAACGCTGTACGCGAGTATAGATATTATTTCCGCAGTAAATTCAAACACTGATTCAGTCTCCAATATATCTATTGGTTGAGCATAAGCGACGTTGCCGTATTAAAACTTATGAAAATATTTGAAAGTATTACGTAAAGGTAACGTCTCCAGGGTACAGTCTTGCGAATAAGTTATGAATCACTTAGCTACAAGCTCGTATACTTTTACGGTGCGTATAATCTAAAAATTTTTGACAATATTGTACCACGACACTTAAGTTTTAAAATTTGATTTATAAAAGTAACAGTTTTTAAAATTTTTGCACCTATATTTCTCAATATAAGTTATTTAAAAAACAAAGGGTATAAGGCATGCCGAATTTTTTTCATTGGGTTTAATTTAACATTTAAAAAATGCAGGGGTTCTTGCCCCATTTCCAGCAAGGGTGTAGCTAGGATTTTGTTCAGGGGGGCAGGCAAGGGTAAACTATATGCATGCTACAAAACACTTGAATAAACTTTTCACCAACTTCAACAAAATTTGTTTGTTCTTTTCAGAGGCTTAAGCCGTAATTTTCGTTTTTCATACCGTCTATTAAATGCAAATTTAGGTACTTATAACAAAACACATTGCAAACTGCGTACATAACCCAATTGTTGTGTTTTATATTGCCGCAATCCTCTGTAAAACCAAGTTTTTGTCAATAATAAGATTCAGTTATAAATGTATTTATGTTTAAAAATGTATCACTCTTATTATAAGAGTCTTATAATGTAATAAACACATATTTAAGTTTATGTAAGATAACCTACAAATTTTTACTGTGCTTTACTGTCATTTAAAATTTTTTAAACGTGAATTTTTGCTTTAAATTTTTATGTTTATATCAATTTATGGGCCAGTGTGTTCCTATTAAGCGAAAATTCGATAAAACGACGGTAATATATAATAAGTAATTGTTATTTTATGAAGCTGTTGACAGCATAAATGTCGTCAATACAAAGGTGTCACGCCATTTCGTATTATACAATCGGGCAGTTGCCCTTTTAACGTATATAATATTCAAAATAAAATCCAACATACTGACATGCAAACCGTTTTTACCTTAACTCAGGTCACAAACGAGACTCACACACCTATAAACTCTACCAAACCACACACTAATTTTTATTCTCATATTTCGTGAGCATTTTATTATAAATATTTTCTTAGTGAATGTTCACATTGTCACGATTCTCATAATAAATATGAAAAAATATTATTGAATAAAAAAACCCAAGAGGTGCGTGATCTTATTCTTAATTTTGTATCCATTAAACTTCCCCATCAGATATCGACCAAATTTTAAATTAAACTTTTTTACACATAAAATCCCTTATTTTATACAGTTCAATTATTAAGACTTTTATTATTACTAAAAAATAAATTAACTCTCAGATTTTAATCAAAAAAATTAATTGTCAATAGAACTCGAAAAAACAACAAATAACCTTACATGGACTTGTATGCTTTAAAGCTTTGTTTGTTATACTGGGTGTTAAAGTTAATGAACAAAACTATGGTCACATTACGGCTTTTTTGTTTATTCACTCGTAACCATAATTTTTAAGGGCGAGCAAATAAACAAATAATATTTTTTAATTAACTATTGAACAAGACATGGGAGACAAAAAGTTAATGCTAAAATAGCTATTTGTGTATTAACACATTGCGTGCCACGTCTGACATATGTGACAGACAGTGCTACTTTCTGAAGGGCCACGTCTGTCATACATCCAAGACACAATATTCACTACCAGGCCGCGTCTTGCAGATATACTAGACTATGGCAAGCCGTTTTACTATTTAATGTACAATTTTTGGGATAGGGATATAAAATTCACCGTATTTAAAATGGTTACAATTTCCATTATGTTTGATAAATAATGGATTATTTAAAATTTAGTTGTACACAAATTTAATTTAAAATACATTAAATAGTAAAAGGGCTTGCCAACTTTGTGAAATTAATTTTAATTATTTTTAATTTGTCCAAATCTTTGGTTTAATTCGGTTCAATTTTTATGATACCTTATTACAATTACATCAATTTTTCTGAAACAATACCTGCCTTGCACATGTTGAATTCATCGTCAAAAATTATTGTAACTGTATGAAAATGAAATGTTACAAGAAATAGCTCCATATTGCAAAGGTGTTGATATTGAATTACAATTCAATGAATTATTTTTTAATAGGTGCACAAATATTTTAATTTTTATTTGAAACTTATTTTAAGTTGCAATGTTTTTCATATAATAATGTTAATTCAACTATTTAAAACGATGTAGAATATAATTTTATTGCTTGAATTAAAATGGTGTATAACATCATTTTAATTTCTGGAATTAAAATGATGTCGAGTATAATTTTAATTCGTGATTTAAAATTATGTAGAGTATAATTTTAAATGAGCGTACTAAAATGATGTGTACATAATTTTAATTCAATTAAAATGATATATAGTATAATTTTAATTATGTGAATTAAAACCATGCACATATAATTTTAATTCCAGAATTCAAATTATACACACATCATTTTAATTCACAAAATTAAAATTATACTATCTATCATTTTAAATGAATTAAAATTATGCTACACATCATTTTAATTGAATTAAAATTATACTATACATCATTTTAATTGAATTAAAATTATACTTTACATAATTTTAATTGAATTAAAATTATGTACATAATGTTAATTCGGCAACGCCGCAATCGCGAAACGTATGCTAACGCTAGAATGTTCCTTTTTTTTGGTAACTTTTCGTTTGGCTGATGTGGTAATATGTCAGGCGGTATTTGGTGGGAACACTCACAGAACACTGTTGGTGGGATTTACAGCAACAAGTTTAATATTACTCTGATATTACTTTAAAAAAAGATTTACAAAGGTAAGTTGTTTTATTGTAATTACGGATAACATTCAGTACATATTATCTGTAGTAACAAGCTTTGCTTGTGCAATGCCCTAAATGTTAAATTGAAACTAATCTAAGAATGTCAACAGGTACGCAACGTTTTACTGAATCAATGGTTTTGCTGTAAAGCATTTGTTTTTAACAATAATGACAGAAGAAACAAGTGTGGCACAAGTCCTTTTAAGGGCAACATGCAGAGCCAGTCAACCAACAGTCGAGGAGAGAAATTTTACTTCACTTCTCTCTGAAACCCGACAACATTTTCGTAGAAATTCTAGTGGTAGAAGCACTAGGACTAGCAGCCCTACCAGTGGACGGGGAAGAAAGCGAAGAACATCCTTTAAGAAAAAAGTTATTCTCATTAAGCTGGCGCACGCGGATTTTTGTCCATCCAATACAGAGTTGAAGTTTTTGAGAGAAAGGGGTTTGGGTAAGTTTTCTTTGACATCTGGAAACAGTTGATTATTTATAAAAGGATTATTGTTTAAAAAAATGCCTGGACAAGTTAATTCACCACTTGCAACCTACAATTGTAGGGTTAAGGGGGCAATGTGGCACATTGTTTTAAAGAAAATTAAATTCTTATGTTATAACATGTTATTGCAGTCACACCCTTTTTCCATTTTACATCATTTAAAAAGACCAAAATATTGCTTGATTTTTTAATCGTGTACTTAAAGTAAGGTGACCAACCATCCTGGTTTACCCAGGACAGGTTCTGGTTTTAGCTAATGTGTCTTCATTTTAATTGTGTACTGGTTTTGTCCTGGTTTTGCAGATTTGGTCCTGGTTTATACTTTTTTATTATTGACGACATTAGCAATTTTTTTTTTAAGTTGTCGGGGTGAGGTTAAAAATTAATTTAAAAAGGTAAAACTTTGAATGTACATTTAGAAGAGTAAAAAAGTATAAAAAAACCTGGTTTGAAAAAAAAATTATAAAAAATTAATACTTTTTTAGGATTTGTTCTATAATTTTTTTTAAAGTGGTCGATACTCAGGTTAAAAATTAATTTACAAATCTGAATTTTTAGGAGTAGGTACCTTCAGGATAGTAAACTAAACTTTGGAAGAGTTAAAAAGTAAGAAAAACCTCGTTTGAAAAAAAAATTATAACAAATTATGACTTTTTCTCACTTTTTTAGGATTTGTTCTAATATTTTTTTTAAAAAGTGGTTTGTTTTAATTGCTTTATTAAAAGTGGTCAGGGATCAGGTTAAAATTCTCAATTTTTGGAAGTACCTAGGTAAAATTTATTTAGGGTAATTTGGGTACGCCGAATCCAAAAATGACCATCAATTTTCTCAATCAGCTCTTGTTTTTGCGATGTAGACAAAAAACCGTTTTTTTATATGCGCACATTCAAATGCTTAAGCATTTGAATGTGCGCATTTAATTAAATAAATATTTTTTTAAACTTCTAATTTAAGCAAGGATAGTTGGTATTGTTGCTATGGGTCTTTATTAAACTAAAAAAAATACCATATACATTGATAATGGTATTCTCTTTAAAAATCTTGCTTTCATCGAAAGAAAATCGATTTTGAGCCAAAATTCGGATATTTTTAAAATTCAAAGTGATACAGATATTAATATGATATTTTTGAAGAGAATACCATTATCAATGTATATGGTATTTTTTTTACAGTTTAATAAAGACCCATAGCAACATTATCAACTATCCTTGCTTAAACTAAAAGTTTAAAAAAATATTTATTTAATTAAATGCGCACATTCAAATGCTTAAGCATTTGAATGTGCGCATATAAAAAAAACGGTTTTTTGTCTACATCGCAAAAACAAGAGCTGATTGAGAAAATTAATGGTCATTTTTGGATTCGGCGTACCCAAATTACCCTAAAAAAGTTGTTGTTTACCCTGCACCAAAATGGCTGTCGGCCAGTGTTATTAATGTAGATTGTAGAGGGCGCTGTCTGCAACACGTTTAAATGATCAAATCTTTTTTTCGCCTCTTAAATAAAAATATTCCTTTTTTTCTTTATTGCGAAAAAGGTACCTACACTTTGTAAATGTCGCTTCAACTGTTTTCGAGATATGTGGATTTAAATTGTTCCGTGAACCCCTTTTATTGTGATTAATTTGACCAAAAATAAATGAATATTTAAAAACACAAAATGCTTACAAACAATAACGAACTTAAACAGTGACTCAATTTCTTCTACAAATTTTGTAGCTTCTTTTTTGTATTTTTTAAAATCGTAACCCACTTTAAAAAAATTTTAATTTTAATCACAATAAAAGGAGTGCACTCAACAATTTATATGTATGAGTTTAATGTTTATTTTATAAAAAATTATAAGTGCATCCGTCTTTGTTTAAATATACAGGATGTCTTTGATTTTAATCGGGAAAATATAGTAGGTAGGACTCGAAATCAAAAAAAGTTTATATGAACTTGTTTGTTTTAAAACAAAATTAATTAATTAAACCTTTGTTTTCGAGATACAGGGTGGTAAAGTTGTTAAACAAATATTTATATAAAAAAAAATCAAAAACTTGTAACGGTTTGAGCACCTTAGCCATAATTATTTTAACTTTTATTTTAATATTATCATTATAATTTTGCGTAATTATACAAGTTTGGTATATCTTTGTAAAAACTGACATATCTATACCTATTTCAGGTATGGCTGATAAAGATATTGAAATATATAGAACAGCTTCCATCGAAGAAATTATGGACGACATTGTTGTTCTTTATCCACCCAATGTTCAGAACCTGCTGATGATGTGTGGCTTTAGGATAGGTCGGATGGATAAATCAAAACGCATTTCATGTATAGTTGATGTAGCAAATGGACAAGAGTTGGAGGAAAAATTAATGCAAAGCAAAATCATTGTACTTCCAAACAACGACTTTCCTAGTGACCTACCAGTGATAGAACAATTAGCAGTTTCCAGCCCCTTGTCAGGCTATCGAGGCGCTGCACAAAGTGCAATAAATAGTGGACACCAACTTCGAATAAATGAACCGGCAGCTTCTTCGTCAACGGCTTCCAACTCAAGGGTCTTAACTGGGAGCGCTTCAAATTTGGATTTAAGATCAAGACCAATGCATAGTATGTTGTCTTTAATTCGTAGAGTAAGTACGGAGGATGTGGATGAATTTGACTTTGACTTAGAAGAAAGCAAAGAATGTAAGTTTATTTTATAAAATTTAAATGTGGTTCACAGGAATGTTTAAAAATTAATTGCAGATCCAACTGAAGAAAATGAGTTTTTTGTTGAGTTTCCGGATGTGCCTGATGACGCAGAAGTTTGTGATATTAGAATTAGCAGAGGAAATTGTGTTCATGATCTACTAAAATTATATACTGATAAAGATATTATAAATAAAAAATTGAATGTTAGGTTTGAAGGGGAAATGGGAGTTGATGGAGGTGGTCTCACCAAAGAAATGTTTAATATTTTTTTCAACAAATGTAATGGACAATTTTTTCGTGGTGAAGATAGTTTGATTCCATTTTTGGAATTAAACAATATGGGGGAATTGGATAAGTTTATAATAATTGGTAGAATTTTAAACCATATGTTAGCAATAACTCATTCACTTCCTTTAAAACTTTCCAAATTATGTTTAATGCTTGTAGCTTTTCCCGAAAAGATAATTGATGATGTTTTATTATTAAATGAATTGTTTCTCTTTGTCAATCCATATTTAAGAAAAATTTTAAAAAAGGCTACCAATAATTTTACAGCAGTGGATCAAAAGGAGATTGAAGTCATTCAGGATTTCTATCAGTCAAACAAATTTTATGCTCAGCCATCTGCTGACAGAATTTCCCAACAGCTTTCGATTATTGCCCAAGATATTTTAGTTGATAGACCAAAAAAATTAATTGCAAAAATTCGCGAAGGAGTTCTACCCGAAAATTATCCTAATTTCTGGAATAAATGTGATTTTAATGTGTTAAGTGATATGGGAACACCCACAGCTACTAAAATTGCTAACGCTTTAATAACAGATCAAAATTTGACTAATGAGGAAAACGAAACTCTCCATTTTTTTACAATGTACATTCACTGTCTCGATCGCGAAAAAATATCGACATTACTATTTTTAATTACTGGATCATATGTTATGACCGACGCTATTAACGTAAAATTTAGTAATGATGTTGGTCTTAGTCAAAGGCCAACCTTTAATACGTGTTCAGACCTCATAACGTTACCAAAAACCTATTGCAGCTACGATGAACTCAAGAACGACTTAAATGCATGTTTATATAATGAAGAAGCTTTAGAATATACATCGTACTGATCCAACTTATTATTATTATAAATCCAGTATTTCTTTGGTTGTAGTCACTTTTTCACTGTGCGAATTGGAGCTCCTCGTTCATGCATCATGCATATTTACGCGCGGCTAGTGTCGCGTCTTAAAAATACATTTCTTAAAATTGCAACGCCTTATTGCATGGTTTTAGGGGAGCTCCATTTCGCACAGGTTGGAGCGTGTAAAGGTCACTGATTTTGTTTACGTTTACCTGATACATTACTTATTTTTAGTTATTTTTATGAAATGTTTTTTTTTTAATAAACTGCTATCTTATCAATGAAATTTTATTTTGTCAAAATCAATTTACCAAAAAGGGAAAAACCCAGAATTTTCACCGCACAATTATTCGAAAAATTCGAGAAATCGATTAAAATACCGTCCAGAACATATGATGCGAGATTTCTGCTGAAAACCGCGACTTGTTGAAGACCATATGGTCTAATTTATTTAATTTAAGCCATGAATTTCATAGCTTATAAAACAGTTAATTACCTACTAAGTATTTTAATTAATTTTAATTTAATTAGATTAACAATTTTTAGTTAATTTTAATTTTGTGCAAAATTAATAAAACATACGTTATACGTACTCAGTACTGAGGAGCTGTCAATATATCTCGTGAGGGTTATTAAAACGTCACTAAATCAAATATATTTGCTTATTTGTTGTCAAAATGCCTATTTTGTTATTTCATAAAGCGCGCATGCAACTACCCTGTACAGGCTCCGTACGTGTTGTTTATAACCGTCAACAAAAAGTTGTAACACAATTTTTGGCTTTGTTTGGACTAGTTAGGAGGTAAAGATACTAAGAGTCCACCACCCCCAGGAGGTGAGTGGGGTGCAGCTGCATGCAGGGGTCACTAGGGTGTTCCTTATTTAGGGGTAGAAAAAAATTTAACAGAGGCGCCCCCCAAATTGGTTTCAAATCATAAAAAAAATTCCTTCAAAATTTTAAATCAGTCGGTCAAAGGGAACAAGGGTTTTTTGAGAAATAATTGAGAAAATTCAAAAGGCTGATATAAATAACTTCGAAACGGTCTATCGCATGAAAAAAAGTGTATATAATTTTTGTGTGTTTATTTATTTACCTACAGTTCTGCGTAAAAAAAATTTTTTGGGCTCAAAAAGCGATAAAATGCTTTTTTGGTCACTTTAGCGCCACCTACTTTTTGAATCTTCTGTCCTAGAGCATCGACCCATTGACATAAATTGTAGGGGACAATGCGCCCTAAATTTTTTGTTGACAAATTTGTTTTCTTAAACCTACCGATTTGAAAAAAATTAAATCAACAACTTTTTGCTTTTTCACCAAAAACACGTCGTGCTATAACTCCGGAAACGGTTTATTGTGGGAAAAAAAGTTAAAATGAATTCTGTATTTTTTTCAACTTTCTTAATGATAGTGAAGTGTTTTTGGAAGAACTCAAAATGTTTTAAATTTAATTTTTTTCAAAATCGGTAAAAAAAATTTGTCAACATAAAAATTTAGGTCGCATTGTCCCCTATTTATGGGTCGATGCTCTTGGACAGAAAATTCAAAAAGTAGGTGGCGCTAAAGTGCCCAAAAAAGCATTTTATCGCTTTTTGAGCCCAAATTTTTTTTTAACGCAGAACTGTAGGTAAAAAAGTTGTTTATCATAAATAAACACACAAAAATTATATACACTTTTTTTTCATGCGATAGACCGTTTCGAAGTTATTTAGGCAGAACTGTAATTAAGAAAGTTGTTTTTTATAAATTAACCCACAAAATTTATAAACACTTTTTTTTCCTACGATAGACCGTTATATCAGCCTTTTCTCAATTATTTCTCAAAAAACCCCTGTGGGGCACGTGTTCCCTTTGACCAATTGATCTAAAGTTTTGCAGGAATTTTTTTTATGATTTGGAATGGTTACTTTTGTATATTTTTTATGTTAAGGGATAATTAAAAAAGCATAAAATTCGTGAGAATATTTTATTTACCGGTTTATTTATAAAATTTAGATACAATGATTATATAAATAGTCAGTTTTTTAATACATAAACCAGCTTTCCTTTTTTTATAATTTTATTAGGTAGGTAATATATTTTTTTAATCTTATAAGAAACGTGTATTCAGGAAATAAAAGTTTTAGTTAAGAATTTAAAAAATGTACGCATTGTAAATATTTGTCCTTAATTGTTATTTCCTGAGAATTCTTTATATTGTTTAAAAAGACTTTTTGCTCTTCGGTCAACTCTAAATCAACTTTAAATAACGACTGTCGAACTTCATTATCTTCGCTATTCATATTCATAACATTGCCAGTCAAATCAACCCCCATAGCACTTAAAGATTCTACTAGCCTTTGACGGAGCGAAATATTATTTTCAAAAATTTTATTTACAGCAGTGGAGCTTGAAGAATAATTTGATAATAATCCACTTAACCACAACTGTCGAGGTGTCTTACTATGTTCTGTCCTTATATTGTGAACATTCCATGCTGCTTCAAACGAACTTAGTTTCTGACTAATCTCATTTATATATAAAAACTGAACACAGAATATATGGATTGAATTATCAATATTTAAAATACCCTCCTTCTCCATGTCATAGAGTTCTGTATAAACTGAATCGCAAACCTCCTTATAAACATCTACCCATAACCTTTCCACACGCTGGTTATGGACAGACCTTCCTGTTATGTGACTTCCGCGCTGCAAACCGCGAATCGTATTCATTAGAACTGCTACCAGAATGTTCTCGTAACCATGGTCCGACCTAACTCGAGAAGGGAGACCATAATTTTCCACAGCGTTGGTGAAGAACTTGAGAACTGGCTCTGCTTGAATGGAAATTTCACATTTCAAGTATATTATCAATCTGGAATATCCATCAATACACCCATGTATCACAAAGCCCCATCTGAAAAACAAATCCCTATTTATCTCATAACTACTCTTAAACATACATACCGTGACAACTTTAAATGAGCATCCATATGCCATAACGCGTTCGGACTTGCAACCTTGTAAACCCTTCTTTTAATTGATTGGCTCCACCTAGATGCCGTCCCAATAGGGTCCACCCGATTTAACGCACCTCTAACGCGATGCCTTTGCAAAACAATCCCGTCTGCTTTTAAGTACGACTGGACCAACTATGGAATACACATTATTGAAATACAAAATACATTTAGTTTAAGTATGCCATGTAATTAAGCAAATTTTCTACAGGTTAAAAAAATTCAAAAAATTATTATAATTGATTCACTCAACGGTATTATGAAAAATAAATATTTTTTTAAAACTACACAAACTTGATCTAAGGCTTATTGTAATTTTGGAAAATCTGTGGTATAGAAGGCCTTACTATGTGGCCAGCATTCGGATGCCTACGATGAATTTCACTTATATGGGTTTCCAGTTGATCATCAGATATTTGGGAATATCTACCTCTCATAAACATATTACATTGATATAATTTTTTATATACAAATGATTTGGAACAACCCAACAGTTTGGCTATGTCACTTGCTGAATATCCTTCATTGCAAAACAACCTTAATTGTTCCTCTGTTACTTGTAAACGCGGGCGGCCTTTTCCTAGAAAAACTATAATATTGATTTCCACCAAAAAAATTGTTTATTTATAAATCTGTTTTTGGTAAGAATAGTACAGACAAACGGTATAACCATTAATGGTTATACCGTTTGTCTGTACTATTCTACTATTCTACTAATTGTTTTTAATGGTCTAAAAACAATGGTATATGGTTTGATAAAAAAATAATCAGTAAAACAATCATATCAGGTGATCATGTAGGTGGTGCTATAGCAAACAAGACTTCCCCGGCGATTTTTTGTTAGAGAATGATTGGGGGTGGTCGTAAACCGTAACCCGTAAGACTTGCATAATGTGAGGTAAAATGTTCTTAAAAATCCGGCAACATTTTGTTTACAGCCCACACAGAACATGACGTCATGTACATCCATGCAATGGATAAACCAATATCCATGCCTTTTACAATTGGATATCTAATGGATATCCATACTGGATATTCAAAAATATTTAAAAACAATTAAAATATTTTTTTCTTTTTTAAAATGGCTCCTTATAAAATAAATTAATGTTAATTAATTAATTTATTTTATAAAGAGCCATTTTAAAAAAGAAAAAAATATTTTAATATATATCCACTAATGTGTATCTAATGTATATCCACTGGACATCCAATGTATACCCACTGGATATCCAATGGATAACTCGTATGGATATCTTGTATCATGTATTTGTATTTAATAGTAATACGCACGTGGTAAATTCGAGATTGTTCCGCGTTGCCTGTTATAAGGAAAATAAGAAATATTTCAGTAATAAAGTTTTTTTTGACTTTTTAAATTTAATTTATGAGCAAATGAAAGCAAAAATGTAAATAATTATTTACTAAATGTATGTTAAATATACTAATTAATTAATTTAATTAATTGATTAAAGATTTAATGAAATGTCCACCATTTTGAAGACGTTTCTAAAATTATTTTAACGTCTGACAAGGGGGCATCCATTAATTACGTGAGGTGTTTAGGGGGGGAGGGGGTCGAGCCAAACCTCACTCAATCTCACGTGGGGGGAGGGTGGTCTCGGCAAATATCACGTAATTTTTTCTTTTCAAATGAAACAGGGTAAAATTGCGAGAAAACTGGGTTAAATTAAGTAAACAATTATAACAATTGGTTTTTTTTAAATAAATCTAATGGAATCAATCACAGATTAACTTATTTACATTAAAACCATGCATTTTAAAACCTTAATCTCACGTGAGATTAAGGGAGGGGGAGGGGTCGAGCAAAATCTTACGTGAGATTAAGGGAGGGGGGAGGGGGCGATCAAAATCTCACGACATCTCACCAGGGGGAGGGGGGAGTCGAAAAATCGCCAAAATTGCCTCACGGCCAAGAAGGTGGCCGCCACCTAAGTGGGGTCTTATTAATTCATTCTTGATTTTGTCGTTA